CTACCCCCTTGAGAAGGATCAGCACTTACCTGGCTGGGGTTGTGGCTTTAGACTGCTGACCTGTAGAAAGACCAACACTCTGTCAGTGTGACAGCCACAGTGATGACATTTCTCTATGCCACCTGCCTTGTGCTGCACCCTAGGCTGAGACCATCCTCAGAGGGACCAGAACTGCTCAGCTCTGCCCAAAGCCAGGCAGGGAAGGGCCTGAAACTCAGCAGGTACTCTGAGGCCCCTACCCCTGTCCTCCTTATTGTCTCCAGTAACAAATTCAGAGACACCCCTCCATCCTGATCCTCTTTAGCTTTGTCTCCTTCCCCTGCCTTGAACTTCCTGCCCCTCCCTCAACCCAGATCCCTCCACTGTGGAGCCCTCACCCACCCTTTCCCCTCCTCTAATTACAGCACCCACCCCTTTCCCCTGTCCTCTCAGAAACAGCCCCTGCTTTCCTTCTGAGTGGTGGCTCTTCCTGCTTTCTGGGCTTGTCAACCTTTTGTTTGTAATCGGTGTTTGCAGCTATAAGGGCTTAGGTGTCAGTGCTGGGCTATTTCTCCTCCACCTCTGGGCTGTTCCTCCACTGACTCCTCTCCTCCCATGCCCTCTGTGCCTCCCCATCCACCTGGAATTCCCCCTAGTTCCCAGACTTCCTCTCTATCCTGCAGTATCATCCAGGAGGCCTCAGCATCCACAGTGACCTCTAAGTACAGGACTTACTGTTCCCCTCACCTTGAGGGACCTCTACTTCTACTCCACTCAGTAAACCCTAGGCTGCTTTTCTGTTTTTCTTTTATTGTTTATTTGTTTGAGATAGGGTATCCCTCTATTGTCTGGGCTAGAGTGCAGTGGCATCAGCATAGCTCACTGTAACTTAAGCTCCTGAGCTCAAATGATCCCCCTGCCTGGACCTCTCAAAGTGCTGGGATTACAGGCATGAGCCTCTACCCCTGGCTCCCTTGGCTGCTTTTTTCAAATGTTGGGACTGGGAAGTCTGAAATGTTAAATGCTGGTATCATTTTATTCTGCTCTCACACAATTTCCTTCTTTTCTCTATGTTTGACATAGGGTTAAACAAGGATTTATTTATTTATTTTAATTGTGGTAAACAACTGCTAGAATTTACCTTTTTTTCCTCCACTTTTAGGTGTGTGGTTCAGTACTGTTTGGTAGATTCACATTGTTGTGAGACAGATCTTCAGAGCTTTTCATCCTGCACAACTGAAACTCCATTCTCATCAGACACTAATTCCCCATTTCTTCCTCTCTCCTGGCCCTGGGAACCACCATTCTGCTTCTTCTTTCTACAAATTTGACTAATATAGTTACCTCATATAATTGGATTCATGCAGAATTTGTCTTTTTATGACTTGCTTGTTTCACTTAGCATAATGTCCTCCAGTTTTATTCATGTTGTAGCATGTATCAGAATTTCTTTCCTTTGAAAACCTGACTAATATTTGATTTTATGCATAAATCATCCACTGATTTGTTGATGGACATTTGGCTTGCTTTCACTTCTTGGCTATTGTGAATAATGCTGCTATCAACATGAGTGTACCAAAATCTCTTCCAGACCCTGTTTTCAATTCTTTAGGATATTGGAATTGCTGGTCACAGAATAGTTCTTTTTTTTTTTTTTTTTAAAGGCAGTACTTTTCTCATAATGGTCACACTGTTTTCATACCTACCAACAGTGGTAAGTGTTCCAGTTTCTCCTCATTCTTTTTCTTTCTTT